TCTCTTCGCGGCTTGCTTCTACGCGCAGAATTGGACAAAGGTGGTCTTTCCCCTCGTGATTACGCAATCCGATGGTTTTCGGCGTTTCGAAATGGTGCTCCCGCTGAAGCGTGGGCCTCATTTTCGGATCGGCGCTTCGCTCCTGTCGTTCAGAATGGCGCTCTCGCCCCAGCGTGGGCCACTTTTCTGGACCCGAATCCTTTTCCATCGTTGTCGCCACCGTTATTTTCCCTTCGCCGCCTTCCCCTGGTCCTCCTGCTCCCCCCGCTCCTTCCAATCCAGTTCATGCTGCTGCTGCTGGTCGTCCTCGTCCTCTTCCTCCCACATCTTTCCACTTTGCATCCTAATCATCCTCCTGCTCACTGGCCACCTCCTCCTCCTCCTCCTTCTCCTCCTTCTCCTCAACCTCTTCCTCCTATGTACGCAGCACCGCTTGTGCGATTGCGCATAATACGATGGGGTTCTTTTATTTGAGTTCCATGTCGGCTTCGACAGGCGTCCGCGGATAGAGAAGAACTCAGCGCAGTGGGAAGGGATGGTGGGAAGGATAGGATGTCAGATGTGGCGCGAACGCACCTAGCTCGCCCCTCCCTCTCTCCCCATGACCCCGTGCCCACCACTTCCCTTCCCTCCCCCCTTCCACTCTCTAAGCCCCCCCCGTACTTTCAACCTCCCCATCTCCCTCTTCCACTGTTCCTCCTTCTCCTCCTCCAGCTCTTGCTCCTCCTTCTCCTCCTTCTCCTCCTGCTCCTCCTCCTCCTCATCATCATCATCATCCACATCCACATCCTCATCCTCATCCTCCTCATCCTCATCCTCATCATCCTCCTCCTCCTCCTCCTCCTCCTCCTCCTCACCAGCATCAGCATCAGCATCAGCATCAGCATCAGCATCAGCATCAGCATCTGCATCAGCAACAGCATCAGCATCAGCATCAGCATCATCATCATCATCATCATCATCATCATCATCATCATCATCAACATTAGCATCACCATTCTCAGAGGTTGGGGGTGAGGTCGAGGTTGAGGGGAAATCGGTTTCGGTTTCGAATTCGTGTCGCGCGGGCAGGCGAGGCGAAGCTGGGCAGGCGGGCGAAAGGAATGATTCCGTTGTTGCTAGGGCGGGGCAACACAATTGTCCGAAGCTTCCCCAGTGGGCGGGCGGTGGCTGGGTTGTCCCGCCGCGGTGTCCCGTCGGTGTCCCGTTGGTCCCGTCGCTGTCCCGTAGCTGTCCCATCGGTGTCCCCTTGTGTCTCGATGGTGTCCCAGTGGTGTTTGGGCTGTCGGTGCTTGGGGCGGGGTGTTTGGGGGTGTGTTTTTTTCGGTGTTTGGTGTCCGCCGCTGCCATTTCGGTTTGTGTGTGCGCATCCGCCTGGTCCGCTCTTTGGGGGAGCTGCTCATGTCCAGCGCTGCAGTGCTACTTTAGCGGCAACGGACCGCCAGGCTCTGCCGCCGAAAAGAAATTGATAGTAGGATCGATGGTGAAATCGGCCGTGAGGTCGATAGAATGATCGATTGAGTGAAGTCGATCGTGAGAGTGATCGATGGTGAGGTCGACCGAGTGGGGCTGATAGTGAGGTCGAAGGTGAGGTCGATAGAGAGGTCACATCGCAACGCGCCATCGTCATCACGGGTCGGTGCCAACCCGAGGGCGCATCACCAGCACGGTCATCATCAGAATCGTCGCAGTTGCCATCAGTTGGTTCTTCCCCCCAACCTCCTTATCACCCGAAGGTTGGTCGTAAAGGTAGACATCTCCAACTATTTTCCAAATTCCTTGATCTCCATCTATCCCATCGCGCCTCTCCCCCTGCAGGTCCCCTTCCCCTCCCAATGTCCCCATCCCAACCCACCACTCTCTACTCCGCCACCGTCCGTGCCTTGTGCACATTAATGCGTGGAAGAAAGTAAAGGTTTGTCTGGTCGAATTTCAACTTTCTAAAGGACCCCCCATCTCCTGATCACACTTCGGTGCGCGCACCGCCCCCTCTTCCCAAAGCCATTAACCTTTGCACTATACTAGAGGTTCGCGCTCCCGAGGCTCAGGTACGTCCAAGACTGCCGGAGATCGTTCCAAAACGGGCCGCGTTGGCTTCAAAACGGCTCAAGAAGCTTGAAACTGGTCGGGAGGCCCAACCAGATGCTTCGCCGAAGGCGAAACCCATATCCAACTTTGTTATATTGTAGTAGCGGCAGTCCCAAGAGCAGCAGAGAATCGCGGGAGCGACGAACCATGTCAAGCAAACGTGTTCCCGGTCCCGATGGCAACTAGTGTGCCTCGCGATGAGGCGCAATCATATCTTGGCGGCCGGCCGCTTGAGCACAAACGACGGTCTCGGACAAACGCTCGCTACCTCTCGCTTTTGCCCAACCTCCTTTAAAATCGGGGGGGGAGGGGACGAACCGTGAGTCCGCCGCCAACTATACAGCACAACACCAATAATTCACAAGGTAGGCAGCAGCAGGCGGGCTCAACAAAGACAGGTTGGCCCCACATGCAAGTTACCTTGCAGGCAAGGTACCTCGCAGGCAAGTTACCCTGCAGATAGCTACTCCTCTAGTGGTTCAGATGATCTCGTCTGGCCGGCCCTGTAGGGAGTGTGTCGTTTTAGGTCGTGCTTGAATGATCGCGTTCCTCCCATGATTTGTAGGAGCATGTCTTTGTCCATGCTCCACTTGGCGTGGCCATCCGCAGTCATATCGCGATTGTCTCACACAATGCACGATACCTGGCTCCATAATTTGTCGTATCCACCTGATGTGTCCCAAAAGCACACACGCAATCGGCTTCTTCAGGTTTTTGCTTGACGAGGACATGAAGACAAATTCTACATCGATGGTCAAGGTGATCTTAATGCTCAGGCCGCCCATATAAATTAGATCCTTGACTTGAGGGGGTGTCAGCGGCCCTGCGTGGAGTTCGTGCAGAATGACGATCGTGGGATAGCAGTCCTCCAAGTCGCGGGCTGCTGCAAGTGCTTCTGCTGAGTAGCTCGAGCGGACCTGCAAGCGATGAGACTTACAGTGCGCGTCGACAAAATGGACGACAGGCTGACCAGCATGCGCGTGTCCACGCTTTAGCAGTTTGCCCCGCGAATGCCATCGCCGTTGATTTCGTCACCGGCATCTCCGTTCAGACGCCCGTAGCCAAAGCCGCTGCGCAGGTCGACCTCGCCCGTTGGTGTCATCGCTTGACAGACGATGTTCTTAGGGCAGGCCTGCAACTTACTGGTAACCGCGCTCAGTCGTCGCACTTGCACACTGGTCGGTTCTTGGACACGGTTCTTGGGCACTTGTGTGATAAGGGCGTAAGCCAAAACGCCTCTGAGGCTGACAAGCATGTAAGCAACCATCTTCGATGCCTTGCCCTCCGCATCTGCGCCCGTGAGTTCGCGATGCTGGATGGGACGGAGCTGTTGCATGTATTCATCTTGGTCTAGGGTAGCATTGCCGTCGCTGTCCTTCGCACATGTCACGGCGCAGCTGGTTTCCCAAAAAGTATCCTCAACACACGCGACGCACTTCTCAATGGTGTCCTTTGTACCGGCCATGTTTATGTCAACGTGCTTGGCAGTAAGAAGGTAGAAGATCGCCTCGAATTCCTCGTCGTAGGGCGTGGGTTCTAACCAAAAACCCCTGTGGTCCCCCTGAGCTTCAGTGAGAAAGCTCTTGGTACATCCTTGGCGCCAGAATCTGGTTTGAGGCATGGCAAACAATGTCTCGACTCATCATAGCGCTCGGATCCTTGCCCAAGTTCTGCAGGTGGAAGCCGGAAGCGGGCTGCACCCGCCTGGTCGTGTGCTCACGTAGTGCAGCATACAGATCGCTTTGCACCGAAGCAGGACCCATGCGGAGCGGCCTGGCCTGATCGACTGTTCTCTTTAATACAGGAGCGAAGTGTGAGTGATACCAAGTCCGCCACTTGGACGCTGTGGCAACAAGTCCGAGCTCGACTCATCCCGAGCTCTTCAAAAACAGAAAGTTCTTCAAAATCAAAAACTGGCCAGCTTTCAGGTTATGCGCGCTCGTTCATCCTCATCAGTGCCATGACATCACAGCCGTAATCGTTATCGTCGACCGCAGCTGTTGCCACCACCATCCGCCAACCACCTTCAGCACCGACACATGGACATCATCACTGTCAGCGCCGTCCCCAGCGTCGGCGCCGTCATTGGCCACCATCATCGTCCCCATCGCCACCACCATCGCTAGAATCATCATCGTTGCCGCCTTTGTCGACATCATCGTCATTTCGCGCCCGTCCGAATTCCCGACTCGCAATGAAGTGCCCGCGCGCCAGCGCGGCCTTGGAGACGCGCTGAGAAGTTCCCATCGGTAAACGCCATCGCGGCCGCATCAGCTGTGCCAACTCAGCCGGCCAGTCAGCGCGCGAGCGTGCGCGGGCCAGCGCGGCCGCAGAGATGCGCCAGTCAGTGCCATGGAGTCATCGCAGCCGCAGCTTTGCAAAACAGACTGCGGGTGGGAGGGTGGGATGCTTGCCCGAGCAGCGGAGTGGACAACTCATGGAAGGCTTCGTAATTTGCATCGCGCAGGTTGCACCATCGATCTTTCGCATCCAGGGAGCAATAATTTTGCTGTGTGGGATCCACGCTGGCAAACATTTTGATCAATAGCTGAATGGCTACGCCGAGGTTTCGCCTGGTGGGCGCCCCGCGCGCAGGCTGGGTCCGCCGAGGTCTCTCGCCTGTGGACGGCCGCGGGCGTCTCGTGGGCGATGTGCCTCCCCACCTGGGCAGCGTCGGTGGCAGGCGCTCTTCCACACAGAACGCACGCGCACGCACGCGCGTGCGAGCGTGCACACGTCACTTCTGCAGACGTGCCCAGCCTCTCCGTGCCACGGACGCCTACCTGGTCATGTTCACCGGCATCGGCATTTCCTTGCCGCCCGCCCCACCCGCCAGTCCTGCCCGCCCGCCCGTCCGCACGGCCGCCTACCGAGGCGGCCTGGTCAGACGAGGGTGCCAGCTGGCACTGGACTCACTCCATCTGGATCTTCAACAGGTCACCTCAGCCGCGGAAGGGCAAGGAGCGGCATAACACAGAGACTGCCTGACGGCCACGTGTACTCTCATGGGCCGGAGCGCCGACCCCCCCCCGCGGGGGTGCCGCGGGCAAGGGGACCAGCGCAGACCCGAGAACTCCGCTCAGAGCTCGGAGATATGTGCTACCAGGAAGCCGGATGCACATACGGATGGATGGATTCGCCTGCACGGCCTGCGGAGGCCACTTGCCGGGTGCACGCGAGGAGGCGGCTCACCGTGCCTGGCCACACAAGGGCCGAGAACTGGAGAGACCTGCGGCCGCATGTCACTCCAGCTCTGACCCAGGCTGGCCACGTCATGCGTATCTGGCGCGAGGGTGGGCGGCGGCGCCAGAGGGACCGCCAAGGGGGGGGGGGGGGCAGAGCCGACCGAAGGTTTTGGTACACTGTGCTTTTCTGTCTTAAGACCGCCCAGACCCCTCAAGATCTTCCAGAGGTTGCCCAAAATGCCCCAAAGAGGAGCCCAAAGAGGGCCGCAAGAGGGGCCAAAAGGAGGAACACGAGTTGACAGTTGGAGTCGTCCACCCCAAGACGATCCCAGACGGCCTCCGGGCCCTCAAGAGGCCCCCGAGTGTCCCAGGAGACCTTCCTGCTCCGCCCCCCGCTTCCTCATCCATCCTCCTCCTCCGAAGGAACCTCTGGGGGGTGGTGGCACAGGGAAGAGGCGGAAGAAGAAGGAGAAAGGAGGAAGGACGAGGCCGCAGACGGGAGGAGGCAGGAGGAAGTTGGACGAGGTGGGGCGGGTGAGGGGGGAAGGAGGGGAGGGAAGGGAATGGGGAGCGGAGAAAGAAGAGGAGGAGGGAGAGCAGATCGAAGGAGGAGCGGGATGCAAGGCGGACGAAAAGGTAGAGCACTGCGCAACTGGTGGCCCATAAATCCCTCGCCTTTCTTCGCGTCTACGGGTGCCTCCAGCTCCAGCAAGTATGATCGACGCATGTCATCACCTGCCTGACACTGTGATAGGCAACCTGGTATGACGTGATTGCAAACAACCTTGCAATGCACGAACACTGGCAGACCCTGCTCAAATCCGTCCTTGATGGAGAAAGCGTTTGTCGCAACGCGTTTGGTCCAATGTCCCACCGCGTAGTTATCTACTTATGTTGTTCCCGTTATCGTCCTTGTCAACGAATTCTACATCTTGGCATCCTGCCAGGTCGACAAGCCGGACTTCTCCGCCACCTGCCCCATCTCTGAGCGCTGCAATATCAGCCCGTACCCTCGTCTAGGACTGTGGTGGCCTTTGGGACCTGCATAGCGGCTTGCACAGCAATGGTAAAACACGTCTCCCGACCCCGCGCAAACGAGCGGGCGCCACTGTGCGAGGGGCGCGGCCGACGCGCGCAGGGGGGGGGAGGGGGGGGAGCGCGCGAAGCCAGCCCCCCCCCCCCTCCCCCTGGCGCGCGCGGGCCGAACGCCGCCGCCCAGGCAAGGATCGCCTGGGGGGCGCTGGACAGCGCCAGCAGCGGGCTGGCCTGGGCAAAGATGTGGCAAGGAGAGGAGGGCGGGGAGGAAAAGAGCTGCGACGCCCGCCAGGCGCAAGGAGAAGGAACAATAAGAAAGGGTATTCTCCCGACTCCGCGCAAACCAGCGGGCGCCGCGGCGCGAGGGGCGCGGCCGACGCGCGCGCGCAGGGCGGGGGGCCACAAGAGGCAAGGCAAGGCCCCCACCCCCGCCAAAGTCGCGCGCGGGCCGAACGCCGCCGCTCAGGCGAGGATCGCCAGGAGGGCGCTGAACAGCGCCAGCAGCGACGCCCATGCTCATAGCCCTTGCGCAGTGACAAGGCTTCGGCGGGCGGCCGAAAGTTGCAATGACCACGCAGAGGGGCCAACAGCAAGAACAGAAGCGACAGGGCGATCGTCGGCGGCAGCGAAGTACGCGCCGCGCGCGCGCGCGAGCTAAAGCAGGAAGGGCGGGCAGAAAAGACGAAGCGGCGGCGGCCTCAATGTAGCGCTCGGCGCTGGAGGCCTGGCGCCAGCGGCCGCGCCAGAATGCGCAGGGGACGTCGTCCGAGGCCACATGGAAGGGCTTCGCCCCATAACCTCGCAATCAGGCATGCGCGAGGCTCAGCCCGCAGGCTGATTTGGAAGGCGGGGCACCAATCGCCGAAACAAATGGTTCCGCCGAGCGCGGAAGCCGCTCCGCTCGAAGGGCGAAGGCAAACCAGTGGAAGACAACAGCTGGCGCGCCAATTCCAGGAGCCCCACCGGCGACCCGTCGGAACAGCGAGCGTGCTGCGTCGGATGGGCACGGCGGGTCACCGGCGCCATTATCGCCAGAGAGGCATCGCCACTGGCTCCCAGACAATCGCTAGCCAGCGAACTGACGGCGACGAACTCGCGCACTGTCGCGAAGGCCAAGCCCGCGCCGAGGGCAACGCGGCGTGCCGAGGCCTGCACCCCAGACCGCGGCGCATCTCCCGTCTCGAGGCTCGACCAAGTCGAAAGGGTTTCGAAGCCCCGCTGGCCGCAGGAGGGTCGCGATCGATTGCGGCGTCTCGCGACGCTGCGCCGAAAGGAGACGGCCCGTGGGTGACCCCATCGGAAGCGGGCGTTGAAAGCGCGCCGCAGTTCCGAGGGCTCGCGCATCGGGGTGCCTGACGCACCAGCGCTTACAGACTCCTGCAAACTGCCGTCTCCAGCACGTTGACGCGGCGCGGCGCGCGGCATTCCCGCGCATAAGGCAAGCGAAAGCGCAGGGCCTCCGTCAGCCCAGTTGTCCAGCGCAGCGCAACTAGAAGGTCCAGCGACGGGGGCCCCAGTTCGCGACGCAGCTGGGCGAGCCCAGGCCTATGAGGGGCTCCGCGGCTCAGCGCAGCGAGAAAAAGGTGAACGCGTAACACCGCTCGCCATCCGCCGCGCTCCGATCGGCGTCTTAGCTCAGCCGACAGCCGCGCGCTGACTGGCGCGCGGAGGACCCCCTCCACCCGCGCGAGGGACGCGCCCGTGCCGAACACCCCAGGGGCATGGCCCGCTCGATGGTCGGTCGCCGCCGCGACGGCCAAGAACGTGCAGGCGAGCAGCTCGCCCCGAACGGAGATGGGCAAGACGCGCTCCGCTCCGTTCCCCACCACAAGAGAGCGCGGGAAGGCGCAGGCACGGGCGAAGAAAGACAAGAGAGGCCAGCGAAACAGGAAAACCTGAGACCAACGCCCCACCAGCGACGCCAAAACGGCGCGCGTCGCACGACCGAGTTGCACTCGGAAAAGCGCGAGCCTGCACAGAGCCACCATCTGATCGGGCGGAACGCAGACAATTCCAGTCCCACCTGCCACCTCGGCGCCGACGACGACCTCGTGGGTCGCAGCGTGGGCGCGCTGAACTACCTGGGCACTGGGTGAGGCCCGCGCTCGGGCACCTGAGGTCGCGGGCAGCGGCCGCCGCCAGGTCCCTTGCGCGTCGGGCCATCGGGCCTTTGGGCCGAGCTTCTTCAGGAAAGCCTCTCCGCGCGATCGCCGATATTCAGAATTTCGGCGCAGGGGCCACGGCGGAAACGGTGAGCGGTGCGCAGATTGCCCCCCCAGGGCGAAGAGCTCCGAAGCCGTGCAGCACGCCCTCGCGGGGAGAATTGACAATCTCAACAGCCACGTTGTCGCCCACTGCGAGCGCGCTCAGGCACTGGGACACATCGAGCCCTTCCAGCTCGGGTCGCCCTGCCAGGAATGCCTTGGAGCGACTCGCGGGGGGCCGCGCTCGCGGCGCGTTTCGCTTGGCCCGAGATGGCGGCAGGCACCTTGAAGGCACAGTAGGACTCGCGCAAGTCGTCGCACGATACCACCGGCCACCCGCCGGGAGCAAGGCTCATGCGGGACCGCAGGAAGCCATGTCCGAGGCGCTGAGTGCTGGAGGAAACGCTCTGACAGCGACTGTTCACCACCGTGGCATTGAGTATCAAACAATCAGCCGTCGTCGCCCTCGGGGACTCTGAATGCCCCGCGCGCCTCGTCCCAACAGAGGTCCGAAGAGGGGGTGGTCAAGCACAGAACCTCGCGGGAGTCCCACTTCCGAAGAAGCCCCCACAGCCCCGCCCGATCCGCATGGATATCAGCACCCCGACATCCCACTGGCCACTCTCCCCGCGGAAGGCGCATGACACCCGGGCCCCGATAGGCCTCGCGGACCTGGCGTCACGGGGCGGAATGAACGTCGGCAAATAAGCACAGCCTGGACAACGAGGTCAAACATCCCGGCGCGGGTGGAGTCCTGGGCCGCCGCAGACGCCGGCGAACCAGCAACGGGAGCGCCGCTCGGGCATTGCCGCACCGGGGCAGGCACAAGAGGAAGAGGAGAGGAATGAGGCCGCCATGGCTGCAACCTGGATGGCCAGGCCATGGGGCGGGACCTCGGCGGACTCGAACTTCGCGAGCGCCCGCCCACGGGCGCGGTGCCCGGAGTTGCCCCCTGATGCGCCAGAGGTGAAGGACGCTCCTGGGGGGGGGGTACATGGTATACACGCACGTGTGTATATCTATATATATATATATAAAAATACATATATATACATACATACATACATACATACATACATACATACATACATACATGCATACATACATACATACATACATACATACATACATACATACATACGTACATACATACATACATACATACATACATACATACATACATACATACATACATACATACATGTGTGTGCGGTGCAATCTGCGTGGCACCATCTACGCGGTGCAGTTCGCACTGCTGGGCTTAACAGCGTCAAACTCATCGCAACCATCCCACCCATCCACCCGCAACTTGTTTCGAAAAACCCATGCGGCGGCGATTGCCATGAGTGCTTGGCGCTGGCTGGCGCATCGCTACGGCCGCGCTAGCGCGCGCGCGCAGGCTCGCGCGCAGAGCGACCAGCTAGTCTGACTGGCGCGACCGACGCGGCCGCGGTAGCGCTGACTGCTGGGCACTCTCCAACGCGCCTCGCAGGCCGCGCTATCGCGCGGACACTTCA